GAGTAGATCCTTAAGCCCCCAAGAGCAGAATTAATGCTCAATCTACCTGTCTGGCTGCAGTAGTCAGTGGGGAAGCTTTACAAACACCCAAGCACCTACTTTTCTGGTAATGGCATGGAATTGGTTTTATTGAAATTATATAATAGTTTTGCAGTGTTTCCTGTTATTCTCACCCAAGTTGGAATTAAAGTGACTACCGTTAATGAGGTGGTGGGGCTCTCACTCCTTGGAGAAAAGAGGAGGCCCCGGGATGGCTGGGTGCAAGGGGCGGAGGCTCCTTGGCTGCTCTGCCAGCCTCAGCCACAGTTTGCAGAGCACCCTGCAGGATGGGGGGTGGGGGTAGCAGAAGCCAGAGAGCTTTTGTTTCCAGAAACAAGGGACTTATTGTGACTTTTCTTCTAATTCTAAAATATCTATTAAGCGTTCACAATAAGCCAAGTACTATTTATAAGATATCTAATAAGATGGTTCTTGCTGTCAGAGGCAGTTTTAAAAACACAGTAATCATAGCTTTTTAGATAGTAAAGAAATTTATTTTCCCCAGTTGCAAATGGCTGAGCCCTGCCCAGGCTGTATTTCCAAAGGGTTGGGTGTGGGGGTAGAACTGAAGGGCCGCCTTTGGTAAAGCGGGGGAGGAAGTCCTGCGGTCCTCCCCACTGCAGGCCTAGCAGCCAGACGTCCTTCCTGTGTTAGCCCCTGCTCCTGGCCAGGCAGCCCCACCCTTGCCCTGCACAAGCCTTTCTTCCCTCGAGAGCACTCTGCATCCTTCTTTCCCTAGACGGCTTTGTGGTCATATTCCAAAGGATAATGCTTTTTATTGCTAGGATGAACCAAACAAAATGTAGAACAAAATGGTCAAATATCAGCAATATCATACAGTTGGCCCCTGTGCATGTCAGATTAAAAGAGACAAATAAGCTTATTTTGGTTGACCGCCTAAGGGAACTTAGCTCCTGAGCTAGACAGGCCTGAGTTCAAACCCTGCTGCTGCCTCCCTGGCTGTCCAGCATAGCTGTCCTGGGCCGTTAGAAAATGGAGATAGTAACACCTACTATCTCCATTTGTGAAAATTAAAAAACCAACCAAAACGAAGGCTCTCAATAACTGACAGGCATCGACCACTCGTAAGAGTTAATGACATATTGGTGATGGAGCAGGTCTTAGGCCATGAGTCTTCCTTTGTCTGTTTGGAAGTCATGCTGAACGCTGAACACATACACATCAGAACTGTTCTTTATAAAAAATCACATTTTATTGATCATGCTAACACTTGTCCCAATTATTCCCCCTTCACCCTCCTCCACCCAACACCCCCTCTCCCTCAAGTAATCCCACCCCACCATCTATGTCCGTGGGTCATGCATATATGTTCTTTGGCTACACTATATCCTATGCTGTACTTTACATCCCCATGGCTACTCTGTAACTACCAATTTGTACTTCTTAAGCCCTTCACATTTTTGGTCCAATCCTCCCAACATCCCTCCCATCTGGTGTCATCAAAATGTTCTCTATATCTATGATTATGTTTCTGTTCTTTTTGTTTATTTATTTTGTTTTTTAGAATCAGTTGATAGATATGTACTTATTGCCACTTTATTGTTCACATTTTTAATTTTCTTCTTCTTAAAGAAGACGCTTTAACATTTTATATAATGCTGGTTTGGTGGTGATGTACTCTTTCAGTTTTTTCTTGTCTGGGGAGCACTTTATCTTCCCTTTGATTCTTTTTTTTGGGGGGGGGGGCACACCTGGGATTTTTTAAAAAATCAGAAATAAAAACCACCAGACATCCAAAGGCAGGTAGGGTTGAACCTGCCAGAACCACAGATTGCTTCCAAAAACCAGGAGCAAGTTGTTACAGTGTTTGGCAATGGGTTCCGGGGACTGAGGAGAAAGAGAGCAGAGTGTCCAACATATGGCTTGTTTTCAGGGGACCCCATGGCAGGCTGGCTTTTTGTAAGTGCTCTTGAAGGGCGAATGGCTTTTGGTGGCCTCACTTTGTCTGGAAATGTCCCTGGTCACTCACGCGTGGGGTGAGAGTTTGAGGAATCAGGGGCCTTTTCCTGCTCCAGCAGGGCTGGGGCTCTTCATCTGATGGATGAGCTGCCTGGGGCCCAGAGTTGTCCTGGACCCCAGGGACAGGGACATCAAAGCCAGAAAGACAGCACCTTCCTTCCAGCCCAGTGGGTTTACATTCCCTGGGGCTGGAGGTTGCAACTGAGTCACTTCATTCTTGGCCTTGGAGTCCCCTTTGGGAGGATGTGGCAGGAATGGGCACTCTAGCTCTTTCCTGGAGTGTGGGCCAGGCCAGCCAGCCCACTAGATACACTGAACCAGACTGCAGAAGGCAGGGAGACTTTGCACCTCCACGCCTGCCTTCTGTGCATGTGTCCCTAATTTCTTCTGCCATGACATGGTTAGAAGTGCTGGTTCCCTCAAAGCCTGTGCTGCCACCACCACCAGCTCCCTAATGCATGGGGCACTTCTAGTCGCTAAAGCTATGAAAACCACATTTTCAGGAAGGCACAAGTAGCACACGTTGTAAGTGCACTGATGCTTTAGGTCTACACTATGGATGGTGAGTTTTACTTTAAATGGAAAAAAAAAAGGCTTCCTCTTGCCTCAGCTGGAAAGAAAACCACAGTGGGACTTCTGCCGATTGCCATCTCCCTGGAGTCTGAGGCTGTGGGCACCTAGTGTAGGCAGCTGAGTAGGTGTGACAATAAGGTAGGAAACCGACTGTCCTCACCCTTGCTGGGCCTGTTTGCCCAGACCACTCAGTCTCTGGGTTTTCTGACTCAAGCCTCCCCAGGCCCAGGATGGAGCCTATTACAGAGCTGGCAGTGGGACAGGGAACACGCTGGCTGGCTGCGCCCATAGCAGACCACGGAGCTGATGAACTTAGGTTTGATCCCACCTCCTTCAGCCAGGGGTCCTCGACTAGCTTCCTGCTGGCTTCTCCAGAGTCACTTGGGTAGGGAAGACAAGGTGGGGCTGGGCTTGGAATGGCTGGCAGAGCAAGGGGCAGAGGCGGAGGTGAGGTCTGGGACCCTGGGGGGCTTCTGATGTTGGGATCAGGATCTCCTGCCTTGTTTGGGGCCTGGTGGCTGGTCAGTGGGAGACACAGGAAAGACAGGTGTGCGAGGATCTGAGGCAGGCTCAAGGGATTAAGGCTTCTGTCAAAGAGTCTTGCTCTGCCACCCGCTCCCTGCCCTCAGGGTTAATTCCCACAGGGCCCTAGAAGAGGGTTTGCTCCATCCTGCTGGGGACAGTGAGAGAGGCTTGGAGTGGTGCAGGCTCTCTGCCCAATGAGAGGAGGCTGCAACCTTGGAATCTTCATGGCTTTCCCCGACCAATTGCAGGTCTGGAGGTGCCGAGCTCCCCAAAGCCCCTGGTGCTTCCAGACCGGCTGTGGAGAGCTGGCTGCTGGGGAGAAAGGCTCAGCCCGCCAGCCTGTGCCTTGTGGGAGCTGGATGGAGGGTCATCTCCTGGGGCCTTCTTAGCATTGGCAAGGTCTGAGCCTTGGCCCCAGCTGCGAGGTGAGGGCCAGGGCTTGGCAGCTGTCCAGGGCCCTGCTGGCATGGGCCTTGGACTCTGATGTCCACTGGGGCCACAGGGGCACAGCTAGGCTTGTTTCTTCCCACAGTTTGCCTCCTGCCTCATGACAGGGCAGGCAGGACCCCTTAGGTCAGGGCTGTGTGGGGTCCTGGTTGCCACGGCGGCACTGGCAGAGGGGAGGGAGGTACATTCAGCCTCATTCTCTTGTTCCTTTAACTGTCCATGCCGCAACAAAGGAATAAGTAATTTTTAAAAAGGCCTCCTGCCTAACCCCTGACTCCACATCATACCAAATTTTCAAGGCTGTTGGCAAGAGTGATGAACTGCGCTAATACGCCTCTCACTGCCTCCAGCCGGAGCTCTGGGTCTAAGGGGCACAAAAGTGGACAGGGAACCTCTGAGGCCTTGCAGCTACTGCCAGGCCATTTAACACCTTTTTACACCAGGCATCGGTGGCCCTGCACACCAGGATGCAGCTCTGTTTGAACAGTGGCCATTGCGACAAGTGAAAGTGAAGAAAAACCAAACCAAAACCAAAACCCCTGAAGAGACGAGTATAATAGAGCATGATCACAGCTTCTAACTGCCACATCAATATCATGTGCTAAAAACAAAATTAAACCCAGCCGGCCATTCCAGGAACCAGAGAAAGTTGCTAAAAATCTGTTTCTGCGATGGGTGGGACCCCCAGGAAAGGACAGGGTCACACATGGCTGCACAGTGACCCATGCCTTACAAATGCCATATGATAGGGTGACACTGGGTGACACGGGGTGCATCTCCTAGGCAAAGCCCCTTCTTGGCCCCTAAAATCCACCTGTGCATATTGCACAGTACAGTTTGTCCACACATACAGCCATCGAAATCTGATTTTAGAAGTATAGAATAACAATTTTTTAAATGAAAATATTTTTCTCAGCAGGTTCATTATGACCCCTCACCCCCAAATTTCACTCTACTTAAAAAAACAAAAAACAAAAACAAACAAACAAAAACACTGTAGCAGAAATCTTTTTTTACAAATGGCCAATTGTGTGAGAATGCCAGCTGGCCAGGTTGCCCAGGTTGCCTGGGGCCAGCTGCCAGAGCCCCCTTTCCTTCCCTTCTCCCGACCATCTGTGGACCACAGCTCAAATGGCAAGTGAGAGTTTAAAAAAATGGCGACCGCACCACTCGGGCTAACTGGGAGGGGCTGTGCCACCAGCATCCATCTTTCAACCAGGCCCTGAGGGCTATGCTGTTCGGTCTGAAAACCCATCGTTACCTAGTGGGTACATATTACCCAACCTGGGCAGTGGTAATGTTTTCCATTTCTTTTGGCATTAAAATTTTCAGAGACCCAAAATGCTTTGCTTCAACTATGTACTGAACAATGCCCTGACAGAGAGAAAGAAGGAGGGAGGGGGAGAGAGAGAGAGAGAGCACAGGGGAAAACCAAGCTATAGAATGACACAAGGCTTCTTGTCCTTGAAAACATTCTCAGAGGCAGGGACACCGACTAGAAGGGGGTCATTCCAGGCATGCTGCTCACAGTAACTCATGAGTTCTGATGAGGCTTTGGAGATCTTGATTCACTAGATCCTGGCTTTGATGCAGAGCTGCTCCACCAGTTTCCGGGCCTGGGCAATGTTGTTAGTGGCTGACATTGTCTGCCATCAGCTCTGCACCCCATCGTCCAGAGATGTGTGCAAGGCCTGGTATCTTCAGTACCGAGGTTCCGGGAACCCAATGTCCATTCCCTATGCTCTGGCAGCCGCGGCCAACTCAGCCCTGCTGCACATTCCCTTTGATCCTAAATGATAGCTTTGCTGGGTAGAGTAATCTTGGTTGTAGGTCCTTGCTTTTCATCACTTGGAATATTTCTTGCCATTCCCTCCTAGCCTGCAAAATTTATTTCAAGAAATCAGCTAGCAGTCTTACAGAGGCTCCCTTGCAGGTAACTCACTTCCACTGCTCTTAAGGTTCTCTCTTTGTCTTTAAACTTTGGCATTTTAACTATGATGTGCATTGGTGTGGGCCTCTTTGGGTTTCACTTGTTTATGACTCTCTGCACTTCCTGGACTTGTATATCTCTTTCCTTCACCAAGTTAGGAAAGTTTTCTTTCATTATTTTTTCATATAGGTTTCCAATTTCTTCTTCTTTCTCTTCTCCTTCTGGCACTCCCATGATGTGAATGTTGGTATGCCTGAAGTTGTCCCAGAGGCTCCTCACGCTATCCTCGTGTTGTTGTTTTCCTTTTTTTATTCTTTTTTCTTCTTGCTGTTCTTATTGGTTGTTTTCTGCTTCCTTATATTCCAAATCACTGATTTGATTCTCAGCTTCATCCTCTCTATTGTTGATTCCCTGTAAATTGTTCTTCATTTCATTTAGTATATCCTTCATTTCTTACTGGTCCTTTTTTATGCTGTTGAAGTTCTCTCTCAGTTCATCTGCTCTTCCTCTAAGTTCATTGAGCATCCTTATAACCAATGTTTCAAGCTCTGCATCTAGTAGCTTGCTTGTCTCCATTTTGCTTAGTTCTTTTTCTGGAGTTTTTTTCTGTTCTTTCATTTGGTCCACGTTTCTTTGTCTCCTCATTTTTGACAGCCTCCCTGTGTTTGTTTATATGTATTAGGTAGAGCTGCTATGTCCCCTAAGCTTGGTAGAATGGCCTAATTTAGTAGGTGTCCTGTAAGGCCCAGGGGTACAGCCTCCCCTATTACATGAGCTGGGCACTCGAGGTGTGCCCACACTGTGGGCTTTGTACACCCTCATATTGTAGTTGAGCCTTGATTTTCTTGGCACATCCAAGGTCAACCACCACTTGTGTTCTGTCCAGGGTTACAGAGCATAAGCTACAAAGCAATCTTCTGATGATTGCTACTTGTATTGGGCTTGGAGGATCCCAGGTGAGGCCAAGCTGTGAACCAAGGCCAGCTGCTGCTAGTGCCAGGTCTGGGGCAACTTAGCAAGAGGTACGGGGTTTGCTGAAGTCAGATGCTGCTTGTTTGAGAGAATTCAGGAAAACCTGAAGTGTGAGCCAAGACAAGCCAATTGCATGGAAAAGGCTCTGGAAACCACTTGGGTTGGCCCACAAGTTGAGTGGGGCAGTGCCTCAGGGAATCATCACAGTGGGGCAAACAGTGTGAGCCAGATTGGTGGAGTCTCTGATATGGAGCCTGCCTGCTGGCTCTGTGGCTCAGTGGGTGGAAGGCTCAGAAAAGGAACAGTGGCCCCTGCCAGCACTACTGTCTGGGAGAAATCTGCCCCTTTGGCTCTTGCCCTGATGCTGTGCAATCAGTTCCTCCCAATATTTCTCTGGTGCCTTTCAATGTACTGCTCCCGCACTGGATCTCATAGTAAGTAAGTCTGAGTTAGTCTGTGTATGGGCCCTTTAAGAGGAATTTCCAGTAATTACAGCAGTTTCTGTCTTCCAACACATCAATCCCCACTGGTTTTTACACTCAGAAGTTATGGAGACTCATTTTCCCAGTACTGGAACCCTGGGCTGGGGGGCCTGTTGTGGTACTGGGACCCTTCACTCCTGAGATATCTCTGCCAATTTTTATCTGTCACAGGTGTGTATGGGACCAGCCCATTCCATGTCTCCACCCCTCTAACCAGTCATGGTGTAGTTTGTTCTTTAATTCTGTAGTTGCAGGACTTTCATTCAGCCTAATTCCTGGTGGTTCTGAATGATGGTTGTTCTATAGTTTAGTTGTAATTTTGATGTGGTTGAGTGAAGAGATGAACTGTGTTTACCTACGCCACCATCTTGACCGGAGGTCTCCTTGGCACTGTTCTGAGTATATGCAAGTGTTAATGTGCGTAACTCTCACAACAGTCCTCAGAGTTACATGGTATTATCATTATTATTCCCATTTTAAAGATAAAGAAATTGAGACATGGAGGCAAGTCACACAGCTGGAGAGGGGCAGGTCTAGGGTTCACATCCAGGCAGTCTGCCTCCAGAGCTCACACACATAGCCTCCCTGTACCTGACTTCCCTCTTGTGCCTGTAATCTACTAGAGTGTGCACTAGATTTCAAAAAACCTCAACAGAGAAGATAGACAGATGGTAAATAAGATTGAAAAGGTGCTGAGCATCAAATGTCATTAGGGAGTTACAAATTAAAACAATGAGATACCACTATGCATATATTGGAATAAGTAAAATCCAGAACACTGACACCAGCAAATACTGGTGAGGATGTAGAAGAGGCAGTCATTCACTAATGGTGGGAATGCAAGATGGTATAGCCACTTTGAGTAACAATTTGGCACTTTCTTACAAAACTAAACAGACTCTTACCATATGATCCAGCAGTTGTGCTCTCTGGTATTTATCTAAATGAATTGAAAACTTATGTCCCCCAAAATCCTGAACATGGATGTTTATTACAGCTTTATTCATAACTGCCAAAACTTGGAAGCAATCAAGATGTCTTTCAGTAGCCGAATGGATGAATAAACTGTGATAATTTCAGATAATGAAATATTATTCAGTGTTAAAAATAAATGTACTATCAAGCCATGAAAAAACATGAAGGAGTTTAAGGGCGTGTTTTAAGTGAAAGAAGCCAATTTGAAAAAACTACATACCATGTTATTCCAACCTCATGACATTGTGGAAAAGGCAAAACTATAGAAACAGTAAAAAGATCAGTGGTTGCTGGTTGTTGGGGGTGGGGGGTGGATAGAAGAATAAGATGGCACACAGAAGATATTTAGGGCAAGAAACTGTTCTCTATGATAATGTGATGATAGGTATCTATCATTGTAGGTGTGTCAAACCCATAGAATATAGAACACGAAAAGTGAACCATGAGGTAAACTGTGGACTTTGAGTGAGAATGATGTATCAATGTAGGTTAATTGATACAACAAATATACACTCTGGTGAGAGATGTTAATAATGGGGATGTTTTAAGTGTGTGGGGACAAGGGGTACGTGGGGAATCTGTACTTTTTGATCAATTTTTCTGTGAACCTAAAACTGCTCTAATAAATAGTCTATTTTAAAAAGAAAATAGTCTTTGTGGTCTTTGTGGTGCAAAGAAAAGTTTGGACTAACGTTTTCTTTAAATCCCCTAGGATCTAACTTCAGCACTTAGAAAAGAAAATCTCTAACCCTAAACTCAGAGTTCACCATACAAACACCAGGCCTTGCCAAAGCTGTTTTCATGTTGATAAGGGAGAACTCCATGTTAACAGATGATGTTAAAACATGGAGCTGAGAAATTAGAAAGTTTATAGATATTAGTGTGGCCAGAATAGTTTCGTGGTAATCTAGGCCAGGATTTTCAGGCCAAGGCTCTTGGTGTATTAATTAGGTCTTTGACACACTTGTGAGCAAATGGTGTGTGGGCTCATGTCAGGCAACCACATGTGAATAAGTCAGAGAAACTTTTTAAAAATCCAAGCTGTTTGTGAAATCAAGACATTAAACACATGTAGAAACATCAACACTGTGCCACTCAGAGACTAGACACATTTGATATGGAACTAATAAACTTAGATGCTGAGTGCTGAAATATCATTCTGTCCTTGATTTCTTTCTTATATTATAGTATCAAAACTCATACCATGTAAGTCTGCTCAATAAATTGATTTTGACTAACAATTTCAGGGTCTGAATGGAACTTGGCCAACTTTAAAAGAACTCAGCTTTGAATAAAAGTGGAATACACTGTCTGTTATGTCGATAGGGTGGTTTCTAGGTATTACCTCTCTGCTGTCAAATGTGTCTTCTGTTGTACCCAGATTGGACAGGGAAGAAGAGCTGGCTGTACATGTAAGGTTATAAGCTGAAGTTTTTAATTTCTGCCTCTAACATTCTGAGAACATTTCCTCTGCTGAGGAAAAGCTCTTTCGTTACTGTATTGGAATCCTGGTATTCAATCAGATCAGAGGATAACTTGTTTATTATCTTCTGGGTTTCTATTTTCTTCAAAGAGTACTTCCAGATCCTTCTCCCCTTGTGAGATGGTCAAAATTGATGTAGAACTAAACCCATATCCAGGACCCACCATCTTTTTTTTTTTTTTTTTTTTTTGCTTAGAGCAGCTAACAAGAGTACCCCAAAATTCTGATGGGTTTTTTTCCCTGGCTTTACACTTGCTTTAGATGTAAATTACTTGGGATCAATGCTTGCTTCCATTTTATCCACATTTTACTAGACTCTTTTCCATGCTGACATCTTCAGTGTTCCTGAAGAACCAATTATATCTTGCTTCCATGAATAATTAGTTTGGGGAATGGAAAAGAATATGTAGAAGTAACTTATATCCTTTTGACTTCTTCAACAAGTACTCATTATCTGTGAGAAGTTCCTTCTTCTGAGTACCGAAGGTCATTTCAGTCTCAGAGGGTTCATGGCAAGTAGGGCAAGAATACTCTGTCAGAACATAGAAGAAACTTTTCTTACATATTCTTTAACAGGAAAAGTGAAAAAAGCTTTTACTCTGGCAGAAATAGGCAAACAGTCATCAATAAGGTAACTTTCTTGAAAATTTAATTCTATTTTCTCTAGATACTACATTATTTTCTCTATTACTCTACTTAAGAGATGCTCAAGGAAATATTTATCATTTGAACTATTTGATCATCTTCTCAAAATGATTTTAAAAATCGATTTTTTTGTGAGGCCAGGTAATGTTCTCTGTG